TGGGCACTCGGCGCCGCCGTACGAGGGCCCATTGCACTCGCGCGTGCGCTGCTGCCGGCCCTGGGAGCAGCTGGCGGAGCAGGTGCTCCAGCTGGACCACTCGTTCCAGCTTCCATCGACTGCCCGGCCCAGGGGAGCGAAAGGGGCGGGAGCCAGCGTGAGCCCCAGCGCCCCCGGCCTGGCCTGGGCGCCCCAGCACCAGCCCCCAGCCCGGGCCGCACCTCGGCCTGCCCACGGACCAGTCTGAGGCTCCGAGCTCTGAGCGCCCCCCTCCGCCCCCTTCCTCTCACCTACCAGGGCACAGGGCGATGTTGCAGAACTTGGTTTGCTTCTCGGGCCCCTCACAGGGGTTGCCTCCAAACTGGGGGGGCCTGCAGGTGCGCGTGCGGTCCCGGAAGCCGCGGCCGCAGGTGCTGGAGCAGAGGCTCCAGGGCGACCACTCATCCCAGGCGCCATGCACTGCGGGGAGGACAGCGCTGCTGCCCCCGGCGCCCCCTGCTGCCCGCTGTGCCCCCTGCTGCCAGCCACCCCCGCCCCGCCCCAGCCCCACCCCGCCGCCACCGGGGCCCCACCCTGGCCAGGCCCCGCCCCACCCAGGATCAGGCCCCGCCCCGACCACGCCCCTTCTCCCCGCCCTGCCCAAGGCCCGCCCCGGTCCTGCCCCGAGGCCTCCTGGCCCCGCCCCACCCAGGGCCCACCCTGGGCCACGCCCCGCCGCCTCCCGGCCCCGCCCCGCCCGGGGTCCACCCCGGTCCTGCCCTGACGCCTCCTGGCCCCGCCCCACCCAGGGTCCACCCCGGTCCCGCCCCGCCGCCTCCCGGCCCCGCCCCGCCCCCGCCCGCCCACCTGGACACACGGCCGAGTTGTTGCACAGCCGCTGCTCCCGCAGGGGCCCGCTGCACTGCGTGCTGTAGGAGGACGACACGCAGAAGCGCGTGCGGGTCTGCCAGCCCTCGCCGCAGGTGCTGGAGCACACGCTCCACGGGGACCACTCCTCGGCCGCCGGGTCGCCTGAGGGCGCAGAGCCACCGCGTCGCCGGCCTGCGCGGGCCCTGCCCGCGGCGCGGGTCTGGGGCACGGCCTGGGCCCCGGTCCGGGCCCCGGTCCGTGCCGGACAGGCCCGGCCTGCACCCGACGCCAGCCCCCCGGGGCTCGGTCACTAACGCCGCTACTACGTCGCGAGGCCGGCTCGCAGCCCGGCCCTGGTCCCCGACGCCGCCTGGCCCTGGCCCTGCCGCTCACCCGTCTGGGGCGAAGGGAACCCGAACTGCTGCAGCTCGTCGCCCAGCTCCTCCCGCCGCCGGGCGTCCGTGGACCGCAGGGACTGGCTCCGGGAGCTGGCGCGGCCAGCGGCTGTGGGTCGCACAGGGCCAGGTCAGCGTCCCCCGGGGCCATCAGCACCGCGGCCGCCGGCCCTCGTGCGACCACACTGGCTCCCGTGTGCCGCAGGCGGGGACCCCAGGCCCTCAGGCCGGCAGTGGCCTTCGGGACAGCGCCCCTGAGTGGCCGCGGCTCTCCCATCAGCAGCCCCGCACCCTAAGTCCCCTCCCCAGGTCCATCAAGGAAAACAAAAAAGAGCCAACCCGAAGAGTGACAGTCTCATTACAACCTGATGGAGCTTTATGGAAACTGCTAAAACATGCATGAGGTCGTTAGCCAGCCTTATTAGAGAGATCCATCCTGCGCGCACGGAGAAGGCGCGCCTGGGAGCCCCCCAGGTCCCCGCCCGCCCCCGCCCCGCCCCGCAGCGACTCACGCCCGCAGGCCTTGCGGTTGCACAGGCGGCCCTCTTCCAGCACCCCCTCGCAGCCGCCGCCCTCAACGCCCGGCGCGGGCAGGCAGGTGCGCGTCCGTGTCTGCAGGCCGCCCCCACAGTCCCGCGTGCACTCGCCCCACAGGGACCACAGCTTCCAGCCGCCTGGGGGGAGCAGAGGGTGGGCGTCAGGGTCCCCGCCCCCAGAGCAGCCCCGCCGGGGCAGTGGACACGGCGTGGCCCCTCCCACCCGCGCCAAGGCCTCTCAGCTCTGAGCCTGGGTTCTCACCTGCAGCGGGGTGGGGGGGCGCAAGCCCCGCCCCCACCGGGCCCAGCAGCCCTGCGGAGCCCCGGGAGAGGACCTGTGAGGAGGGGCTGCAGGCCCTCCCACCCGCCTCACTCCCAGCCCGGGTGCCCTGTGTGCCACCTCTCCTGAGCGTCCACGCACCTCACTGGGAACACCCAGGAGCCCCCGACAGCCTGGGGCGGGGACGCGGCCAGGCCTCCGGCAGCCCTCCCCCAGGGCACCCTCCTGGTTGGGTCCAGCGCTCACGCTGCCCCCACGCAGCCGGAAGTTGGACATAGCTGGTGGCATTGCCCAGGCCGCCTGCCCGTGGGACCTGCCATCAGCCCACTGCGGGCATTGAGGGCCAGAGCGGGCACTGGGGCTGCCCCCAGCCCTGAAGGCCCAGGGCACCGCCCTGGCCTACCCCATCATCCACAAAGCGAGATGCTGGCCGCGGGGCGGATCAGCAGAGGAGGGGGCCTGGCCGGCACTGCTCACAGCGGGAGCCCCTGTCTTCCCGCCTGTGCTAGGAGTGACCGCCAGGGGGCGCCAAGGGCCAGCGAATGGGAGGCAGGGAAGGTTCCGCCTCCTCCCTGCTGGGTGGCAAGGGAAAGCTTTCTCACAGCGGGTGGGGTGGGGGTTCCCTGACACCCCCAGTGCCCAGAGAGGCAGAGTGGTCAGGCTGCGGGCACAGGGCAGCCTGGGCCGGCCCCGCGGGGTGCAGGGTGTGGAGGCGGCGGGCGGGCCGTGGTTCTGGGCCCCTCCTCAGTCTTTGCCTTCTCCCAGGGGCAAACGCCTCGCTCCCATTTCCCAGATGGGAAGACTGAGGCTGACCTAGGTTTGGGACACCCGTGTTCCCCCTGCAAGGAAGCACCCTCCACCCCATGCCCACGGAAGGCTGCTCCTCTCCTGGTGGGGGCGCCCGGCCCCCCACTCCATGCCCAGGAGGGGCCATTTCACCCCAGAGAGAGGTGGGGTCTGCACAGCGGGGGCCGGCGCGGGCACCAGAGCTGGCGCTGGTGAGGCGCCGAACAGGGAGGGGTCCGGCCCGGGGACACTCCATCAGCAGCACCTGGGGTTCCGAATGCGCCCTGCCCCCCGTGGCCACCTGCCAGGCTGACCTTGGCCCTGCTCTCCTGGCCTCTGCAGTCTCACCTGCCAAAGCCGTCCAACCTGGAGACTTTGAGACAAGGGCAGAGGGGGCAGGGGTCCTGCCTGCAACCCCCGGGCTGCCCCGGCCCAGCCCCCGGAACAAAAGCCTGAGTGACGTGGAAACCGGCAGTGGGTGGGAGAGGGAGGGTGTCCACGCCGGGCTGATCGGAGGATGCCACTCGGTTCCCATGGCAACTGCCGCAGAGCAAAGCCTTTCGGGATAGACCCAGGTTAGGCCTCGGCTGCCAAAACACCCACTATTTCAGGGCTGGTTACCTTGGTGACCCAGGTGGCGAGGGGCGGGGGAGAGGCAGGGGCACATCCGGAGAGGCTGGGAGGGGGGAGGCCGGCTCAGGGACCCCTCCCCACGCCCTGACCCGGGTCACAGGCCGAGCCCAGCCTCGGCTGCACACTGAGCCCTTATCAGGCCCCGGTCACGTCCTGAGTCCTGAGCCCTGGCCACGCTCCAGCCACGAACAGCCACCCAGAAGGCGGCGGCAGCTGCTCCGGTGGGCACTTCTGCTCTGGGCGTCCGCACACTGACACTGGACAGGTGAACACCTGTGGAGTGACTGCACCCCTGCCAGAGGTGGGGGTCCCCAGGAAGGCGCCGGGCAGAGCTGCCTCCGGGCTACCCAGGGGCAGCGCAGGGCAGGCAGGGCTGGGGGCTGCCCCTCCAGGCCCGGAAAGAAGCTGCCATTCTTCCCACACTCAATGCCCCTCTGTCTGGCCGCCTCATTTCCATCTCATTACAGACATGAATAGCCAATTAAGGCCACCGGCGGCCCGGCCACCCAGGAGAGGGTACGTGGCCAGGGGACCCCGGCAGCCTTCTCACCCTGGAGGCCGTGGGCTCCCCAGACCCTGCACCCCAGGTTGGCTGGGGTGAGGGTGCTGGGCCAGCCCCTCCCTCCAGCAGGGCCTGCGGGGCTTCCAGGATCCCCCTTGCAGGGGTGCCATGCACTTCCATCCTACTCCAGCAGAGGTCGCCAGAGTCCAGCAGGTGGCGGCTCCGGCCCCACCAGGCCTGGGTTCCCAGGTACCCACAGCATCCTCCAGGGATGAGCCCCAGCCCGGGTTCCTGGAGGTCCCAGCAAATCGGGGGCTGTCCTGGGGAGCCAGACCCCTCCTCCAAGGCCTGGACCCACAGTCCCCAAGCAGCTGCCACAGAACCAGAAAGGACTCTGCTTGAGCCCTGCACCCACCCAGGCAACCCGCTGATTGAGCCACCGCTCCTCCCACAAGGCCCCACGTGGCCAGCCGCGAGCCCATCCCTGGTCCTGCCAGGCTCACACAGGCCCCAGGAGCAGGTGCCGTCCCGGCCCCCAGCCACAGACGTGAAACGCTCACGAGGCCAGGCCGGTCTGCAGGAGCTTGGGCCACAGCCCGGCCTGCATCCCAGCGGGGCTGAGCTGAGCAGGGGAGGGACTGGGGGCTGTGGTGGGCACATGTGCAGCTGTGTGTGTGGGTCCTGCCCCGGCCCTGGAGGGGCCTCCCTCCTCCCTGTCACCCACCCCAGCCCACCCCGGCCTTCTCTGTGGCCTGTAGACCCCAGAGCTGCCTCCTGGTGCTGCCTTCAAAGACTCTGGGGGCCCCTGGAGTCAGGCTCAGGCCAGTGTGAGGGCTGTGCACCGCCAGCCTGGCCGGCCCTGGCCTGAGGCCCAGGGTGGGAGGTGGAGGGGCCCAGGACCCATGGCCTGGTGGAGCTCATGGTGGTAGAATGTGTGTGTGTCCCCATCCCACATGTCAGGCTCTGCACAGGCTCACAGGACACACACGGGACATGCAGAGGACATGCACGGGACATGCAGAGAAAACACAGGACACACAGAAGACAGACACAGGACATACATGGGACACACAGAGAACATGCACAGGGAAGACACAGGACATGCATGGGACACACAGAGAACACATGAGGACACACAGAGGACAGACACAGGACATGCATGGGGCATACAGAGAACACACAGAGGACAGACACAGGATGTGCACGGGACACACAGAGGACACACAGAGAACACACAAAGGACAGACACAGGATGTGCACGGGACACACAGAGAACAGACATAGGACACACAGAGGACAGACACGGGACATGCATGGGACACACAGAGAACACACAAAGGACAGACACAGGACATGCACGGGACACACAGAGGACAAACACAGGGAAGACACAGGACATGCACGGGACACACCGAGAACACACAAGAAACACAGAGGACAGACACAGGACATGCATGGGGCACACAGAGAACACACATAGGACACACAGAAGACACACAGAGAACACACAGATGACACATGGGACATGAATTGAACACAGAGAACAGACATGGGACATGCATAGGACACACCAGACATACAAAGGACACACATGACACTCATAGGACATGCAGAGGACATATACGGAACATACAGAGACAGAGGTAGGACACACATGGGACATGTAAATGACCCACATACACAACACACATGGGACACAGAGGACACACAGCTCACACAGAGGACAGGCAAAGGACATATAAAGGACACACAGAAACACAAAGGACACACAGGAACACACACAGGACAGGCAGAGGATAAACAGAGGACACATAGAGGACACACACAGGATGGGAGACACAAAGAATACACAAAGACATGCAGAGGACACACATGAGACACACAGGACATGCAAAGGACACACAGGGACACACAGGACACACACAAGGACATAGGACACACCCAAGGACAGACACAGACACACAAGGAGACACACACAGGGCGCACACACACACCAGCTCCCAGCCCCAGGACGCTGCCTGCTCTGTCTCACGCGTGGCTTCTGAAACACAGCTCTGTAATTAAAACATGAATATTTCAAACAACCCTTGAGAGCAACGGCTCCGTGTCAGCAGAGGCAGGAAGATGGGAGACCACGGGAGCGGGTGAGAGAGATGGCCGGGGCGTGGCCTGGGGGCCAGGGAGCCCCCGGGCTGGGCCGGGCAGAGGGAGCGGAGGCCCGCACCGTGGCCAGCACTGGTCTGGGCACACGGCCGCCCCATGGCCAGGGGCAGGGTGGGCTCAGCGACCACCCCCACGCAGCGCCCGCTGTGAGCCTGGCCCCGGCGGTACCGGCTGCCCCTGTGCTGCCCACCCCGGCCCAAAACCTCACACATCTAGACGTGCGCTTGTACATGGCGCTGCACACGGGAACGAGTGAGCACAGGGCACCACACATGTATGCACACATGTCACACGGATGTCACACGTGCACAGTGAGCGGCACGCCTGCGCACACTTTCCTTTTGCCAGAACACTCCCCTGCCCCTACCCTCTGCAAAGACCCCGCCTCATTCTGCTTCTGCTCCCCGCTGCCCCCACAAGCGGGCAAGGCCTCTGAGACCCCTCCCCTGCTCTCAGGCCACAAAGCACCCCCTCCTCCCCGGCCGTAAGGGTCAGAGCCCCAGGGGCTGCCAGAGCTCACAGGGCTGGGCCAGGGTCAGGCGGGGCTGGAGCCACCCTGGGGCGGGACACACGGGCCCAGGGCCACGTCAGCGCCACGTCAGCATCCACTGCCCCAGCCTGGCTGCCGCTGAGCTGCTGAGGCCCCATATCCCGCCTCGCGGCCCCTCTGCAGCCAGGGCCTCCCGAGCCTGCACCCCTGCACCTCGGAGCTCAGAGAAGGGAGGGGCCCCGTGCCCGGCCCAGCTCCGAGGACCCAAGGGACACGAGCACCCCGACCCTCACCTGTGCATTGGCCTCGCCAGCCCTGGGGAGGCCTCAGCTCCTGCCAGCCCCACGCTGCTCTGCCCACGGCCCTGCGTGTGGCTGGATCACGCGCGGAGCCCTGGCCAGCCTCCGCACCGGCCCAGAGACCGGGCTGACAGGACACTCGGGGCCAGCCTGTGCACCCCACGCCCCTGCAAACACCTCCATGTTCTCCACTCCTCCTCCCTGCCCCCATGCTCACCACCACGACCACCACACACACACACACACACACAAACACACGGCCCTGGCCAAGGACGCAGAAGGTCCCCCCCGTGGTGGACCTGCCGTGGCCGAGGCGCCCGCCCTCTGTCTCGCCTGGGATGGGCTTGGTTTCCTGCACCCCCACCTCCTGGGGGGGCCGGCTCCGCGCCACGCCTGTGCCCCGGCCCTGGCTCAAGGAAGTTCCCTCCCTGGGATCCCCAGCCCCTGGCTGGGCATGGAGAAGTGGCTTCTCCCATGTTCCTGCCAGGCCCGAGCCAGACTCACTTCCCGGCCTGGGCACCGTGAAGTCGACACGTGCGCAGGCCCTGCCGCAGCCGAGAAAGCCCCTCCAGGACAGGCCCAGCAAGGCCCACGGCAGGTGCGGCCCTTCTGTCCCTGTGCCTGGGCGCTGTCCCCTCACGTCTCCCGGCCCGCCTGGCATCCCTGACCTGCCTGTCCAGGGCCTGGCTGCTCTGCCCCGGCACCACGTTTCCTGCCGCTCTGCCTGCTGGGAGTCACGGTGGGCGCCTCTGGGTGGCTCCCGGATCAGGGCTTTTGTTGTCGGTACCACGGCTGCTGCCCGAGCACCCAGGACGCCTGGCCTGCTCTCGGTCACTGCCACCACGCCCGGCCCTGGAACCTCAGCCGACCGCACCTCCAAGGAGCCCGCGGCCCCGGCGCCTGGCCACCAGCCCCGCAGCCTCCGTCCGACCCAGCCAAAGTCTCGCAGCCAGGACCCTGAAATGCCCCAGCCTGGGGGTGCTCACGCCCACCGCTCAGGCACTCAGCAAGGAGCCGTCACGCGGGCCGGACTTCCTGCCCTCAACCCAGCTCCACTCAGTGTCGGGGTCAGGGTCCCCGGGGAAGGAGACCTTCGCCCACCCTGCGCCCGCAGTCCCGCCTCCAGCTCACCTGCGGCTCCGTGCCCGGCCCGCTCCTGCGTCAGGCTGGTGAGGCAGTTCTCGGGGCCCCCGGCCACGCCGTCTCTCAGGCAGACGTCCCCACGGGGGACCAGGGGTCCCGAGGCGGCGCCGCCGGCCTCCCCGCCCAGGCAGGCACAGGGGGTCTGCATGATCCCGCAGGGGTGTGAGCTGCGGCTGCCGGCCAGGCAGGCGTCCAGCCAGCGGCACAGCATCTGACAGGCGGCACGGCTGGGGTTCCGGTTGCCCACGACCAGGTACTCCACGGAGAAGTCGTCGCCGGGGCCCGGCGGCCCGTCGAGGGGCTGGGGCTCCATGTCCTGGGGCGGCTGCTGCCAGCGCATTTGTAGGAACTGCTTGCCGGCCTGCAGGAAGGCCAGCGGCGCCGAGGGGTCGCACAGCCTCAGCACCTCGTCGAAGCTCTCCACGCCCAGGTAGGTGCGCGTGGACTCCAGGAAGGAGTCAAACTGGTAGGTGCGGACACGGCCGGGGCCGCCGCAGGGCGCCGGGGCCTTGGCCACCTTCATGTACAGCGTGTAGCGCCTCGGGTCTGGGTTCCGCAGGGTCCAGGAGCAGCGCGATGCGTTGGCCGGGAACACGGCGGCCGCCGAGAAGTAGCCAAAGAACTTGCCCTGCACCAGGGTGGCGCACGGCTCAGGCCCTGGCCCCGCCTCGGCCACGCCGCCGGCCGCCCCGGCCCCGCGCCCCAGGAGCAGCGGCAGCAGCAGCAGCGGCAGCGGCAGCGGGAGGAGCGGGAGCAGCCGGACGGGCCCCGGGGCTGCGGCCTGGCCCCTCATCCTAGCTCACGGGGCCGCCGGGCTTCTGCGGGCTGGGCGGACAGGCGTGGGCCAGGCTCTGACATGCCAGGGTCCAGGGTCGAGGGCAGGGGGCCAGGCGAGGGCCGGACGGGGAGGGGGCGGGGCTTCAGGTGACGACGGAGAGGGCCGCCACAGTTCCTAACGTCCACGGTCCCGGGGCCAGCCGGTGGCCACCCGCGGCAGCTGGAAGAGAAAGAGCAGACGGGGTGGCTGAGCCCCTGGGGAGGGGCAGGAGGGCCGCTCGGCCGGCTGCCAGGGAGGCAGGAGGCCCTGGGAGGCAGACGGGCCCTGGCGCCCTCCCAGGCACCTGCTCCGTCCACCTGCCTACCCACCATCCCCCGGTGCGTCCACCTGCAGGGGCGGGGTCTGGCCAGGACCAGCACCCGTGCACGCTGTCGCAGCCAGGAAGGGTGGGCGGCACCCCCCGGGCCTCTCGGCCAGCCCATCTGGTCAGCAGCCCGGCGTGGCTCCTGCAGGCCCTGGGCCTGCCTGTCCACCGCCCTAGGCCTCCTGCCTGCTGAGTGTGGGCCAGGCTCTCCCTCCACTTCCTCCCTCCCCTCTTGAAGAGAATCCACAATACAGGGATGGGAGGAGAGGCAAGGGGGTTGGTCCCTCGGGCCGTCCCCCGCCCCAGCAGTGCCCTAACCTCGGCCACAGGCCTGAAGCGGGGATGGTGCAGACCCCCACAGTAGGAGCCACCCGCGACTGCTCCTTGGTCTGCCTCCTGCCTGCTCTGCTGGCCCGGCCTGGGCCCCCGCGGCCAGCCCCGAGGCCTCTCACCAGCAAGCCCCCTCCTCCCCCTCCTGCTGCACCCCTTCCTCCATGAGGACTCGCCCTCACCCACCGCTGCACTAGGAGGACAAGAGAGGGAGACTGCCCCCAGGGCACGGGCGCTGACCCCAGACGGAGGCTGAGGGGCCCGGGCTGTGTGACAGCTGCTCACCGTGGGGGGACATGGACGCTGTTGGGCAGGCACTCCGGGGCCCTGGCTAGGCTTCTGCCTCAGCTTCCCCACTGTGTCCAGCCCTCCGGCCAGGCTGCCCGTGCCACCCAGCAGCTGGGCCAGCCCCTCCCCGGGCACGCCCGGGCTCCCTCCCAGTGCAGGAGCTCTGCTGGCCACCACCCATGGAGAGTCACGGCTTCCTGCTGCTCACACCCAGCTGGCCGCCGGTCACGGCTCCGTGGCCCTGCCCAGTGTCCTGGTGTCCTGGCCCGGTAGGCAGAGCCCGGCCGCTGCCCGAGGCTGCCGGGGCTGTGGCTGCGGGGAGGCGTGGCCTCGGGCCTGCTGCCCCGCATGGCTGCGGAGCTCACTGCTCTCAGCAGGTGGGTAAGAGCTGGGCCTGCGGGCATGTGTGGCCAGAGGGGCCCAGGGATGACCGGAGCTGGGACGGGGTCCACTGGGGGCCTCTGATCACTCGGAGCAGGCGTGGCCTCGGTGGTGGCGAATGACTGAGCCCCCCGAGAAGGGAGTTTTCTTTAAAAAGGACAAAGCTTCCACAAACCCTGCCCTCCTGGGCCTCGGCCGCAGAGCTGCTGCCCTGCCTACCCCGCCGGGAGGCCCTGCCCCGCTGCCCCGCTGCCCCGGGGGCGGCCTTGGAGGTGGGCACTGCCCGCCCCCGGGTCCTGTGGCCACCTCGGCCCAAGGAGGCCCCCTCCAGCCTCACCTAACTTGTGCAGAGGCAGCTGGAAACCTCCCCCGAGCCCCAGCCTGAGAGCTGGCTTCAGGGGCCTGCCTTAGTCCCAGGCCGCACCGGCATGCGCCCCCGGGGGGACGGACTCTCCCCTGATGCCCCAGTCCCAGGACAGCATCAGCAGAGCTGACCCAGCCCAGTGCCAGCCCCGGCAAGGCCAGCTGGCCGCGCTCTGCCCCCTCCCCCTTCTCCTGGAGGTCTTGACTGGTCACCCCCGGTCCTCCACATTCCCCAGAGGCTCCACGCCCACCTCTAGGCCTCCTCCCACACCTGTCTCATGGGAGGGCTGGCTTGGGGGGCGTGGGTGCCCAGAGCAGGTGCGGGGCCAGGACGCTGCGGCTGGCATGGGGCCCTCTGGGGTCTCAGGCATCCCACCTGGAAGACGGCTGTAGCCTGCTCACATGGTGGTGCCCACGACACAGACTGCAAGGCTGGGGAGGGTCGCAGGGGTCCCTGCTACAGGCCCATTTTATTGATGGGCTCACAGAGGCCCAAGCAGGAGCCACACCCAGGCACCCAGGTCAAAGGTGAGCACAGCACAGCGCAGCCCCAGGACCCCCAGGACCCCCAGGGGTGGCTTCTCAGCCTGCCGGCTGCACACGTGTCTGTGTGTACTCGGTGTGCAGTCCAGTAAACATGTCTGTGTGTGCACGCAAGCTGCCAGCATGCACATATACATGCCCTGTGTGCACACGCATGTCTCTGTGTACATGTCTGTGCACACGAGTGTACATGCATGACCGCATACATGTGTGTGCACATGACTACATGCATATGTGTTCATGCATTTGCACAAGAGTACATGCATGTCTGTGTGTACATGTCTGTGCACACAAGTGTTTACATGCATGTCTGTATGTACATGTCTCTGCACACAACTGTGTGTGTGCATGTCTGAATATGTGTGCACATGAGTGTGTGCATGCATGTATATGTGTACTTGTGCCTTGTGCACATGTGTGTACATGCACATCTCTGCATACATGTGTCGGTGTGTACATGAGTGCGTGCATGCATGTGTGTGTACATGTGCCTGTGTGCACATGCGTGTGTATCTACATGCATGTCTGTGTGTGCACTGCACAAAGCCACAGGGCAGGAGCAGAGTGCAGGGCAGCTGGGCGGGAGCTGGCCCGGGAGAGGAGGGCTTGCCCGGGAGGGCTGTGCTGCTGGACTTGGTGGCTGGACCTCACCCAGAGGCTGGCTCGGAGCCGGGTGCAGGTGGCCCCTGGGCTGGGAGGCGCCTGGGGCTGGCAGAGCTGGACGAGCCGGACCAGGCGCCTCTCGGGCCCACGCGGGGCTGCCCAGCCGGCTCACCCCCAGCATGGCGCCCCCACATCAGTCAGGGACTCTGGCCGACTCGTCCACCACCCCCAGGCCTGGCGAACCCCTGAGCCCAAGGACAGGCTCTGAGCCGCTGGCGCCAGGTGCCGGGCCGTCATGGGTCACGCTAACTCCGTGGCGGTCATCCTCCCTCTCGCAGGGTGGCCGTCTCGGACCCCAAAGCCCAGGTTGCATCTCCGGTAATTGGTTTCCCGGATCCCGCCCTGGGTAACTGCAGCTCCTGCGACCTACTGCGCCCTCGCGGGCCCAAGGACAGCAGCCAATTAGTGGCACAGCCTGAGCAGGTCCCTGCCGCCCCGTCACCTTCTCTGGGGTCAAACTGCCCTTGCTGCCCGGAAGTCCTTCCTGGGGTCTGGCCCCCAGCCCTCCTGCTGCAGGGGAAGCGGCCGGCCCCGGTGGGACGCAGCACCTCTATCCACACCGGGGAGCCTGTGGCGGGGGCAGGGCCCCAGGATGGAAATCGGGGTGAAGAGCTGAGCCCCTGCAGGCCAGGCACACATCTGAGGGCACTGGGGAACCTTTCATTCAGCCCCGCAGCCCTGGCCGCCCCGGGCACGTGTCCACACACACACACACACACGCACACAGGCCACATGCGCCAGTCCCCGCCATCAGCCTGCTCCCCGCCCCACGCTGCGCCCTGCTTCCTCCACGGCGTGGCAGGGGCTGGCCAGAGCCACTGGAGGGCTCCAGGGCTCCCCGCTCTCCAGCCCCAGGTGGACCCAGCCCCCTCCGCACCCCCAGCCAAGCCCACGGGGCAGCGCCGACCCCCGGCCCAGGCCTCCACGTCCCCTCCCCACCCACCCCAGGCCGCCAATGGCATCCCCAGACACCAGCCACAAAAGGGACTCTGTCCTGCCGGCCTCCGAACAGTGCCCGCCTGTGTGTCCGAGGGAATGCTGCACTGGGGGAGGGGCGGGGCCCCTGGGCACCGGCGCTGGCCCTCCCCGCGCGGGGTGGCCCAGCCGGGCCGCCCGGTCACCCGTGGCCTGCGGGGCTGGGGACAGCCACTCTGTGCGTCTCACCCCAGCCAGCCCGCGCCAGTGAGGCCCCGACTGGCAGACCTGGGTCGTCCTGCTCCACCCCGGCAGAGCCCTCCCCACAGGACGGGTGTCTCCTCCCCCTGTGGCCACTGGCCTGGGGACAGGGGCCGCCCAGGAGGAGAGAAGGGTGGCCCCTGGCTGGGGCTGTGCCGGGCTCTGTTGCGGGCCCACCCTGTGCCCCGCCCCAGCACACACACCCTCCGCCATTCCAGACTTGAGACCCGGGGGGAGCAGGGCTGCCCCAGGCCAGGGCCAGCTGAGCATCGGGACGCAAGGCTGTGGGCCCCCCTGCACCTGCCCGTGCCTGGGACCCTGCAGTCAGCCCAGACCACGGCCCCACGGCCCCTGCTGTGCAAGGCTGAGGTCAGACTGGGGACGGCCGTGTTGCCCGGGAGCTGTTCCCAGAGGCAGGCCTGCCACGGAGCTGCGAGGTCCTGGAGGCACACAGGGGACAGCAGTGGGCCATGGCACCGGGCCCGGACCGCGTGGCAGGCCCCCTGGCCCCCAACTGCCCCCTATAGGACTCACCAGGGGCCAGGGCCCAGGAACAAGCCCAGGACTGAGCCGGGCGGACTGACCGCCGAGAGGGGCTGGCGGGGGCGGGGGGGAGGTTCAGGATGTGACCACGGCTGTGGGGTGTGAGCTCATCATGTACACGTATGCACGCTGCGTGTGATGTGGCATGCGAGGAGCGAGTGTGTGAGGGCTGGTGGGCCTGGTGGACAGCAAGGGCTCTCTGCAGCTCTGGCCCTGGCACGCGTTCCTCGGGGGCAGGCTGCCCCCCACAGCACTCCCGGCCTCGGCGCACTGACCGCCCGCCCCGGCATGGACACACTCGCTGTTGGTGCCACGCTGGGTCAAGGTCACGGTGCCAACAGCACAGCGGGCCGGTGGGATGTGGA